GAACTAAAAATAAATCCCATTGTCTTCTTCAGACTCTATGTTTTAAATGCTTTGTTCTCCACATATGACTAAACGTTCAGAAATAGATAAAAAACAAAAAAAAGTGGTAAAATAGGTTATAATTATAAAATACAATGTAAATATTTCAGTTACTTTTTGAAAATTTTCACAGGATATTTTTTCCATTTATTTTCTTTTTTGTTAATCCTTACCAGAGGATATTTTTCCATTGATATTTTTGATAGAGTCGAAGTGTCGGGGGACAGAGAGAAACATCCATGTGAGAGAATCACATTGGTTGCTTCCCACACCACCACGACCAGGGCTGAAATTCCTATATACTGCCCTTGACTGGAATTGAATCTGTGACCCTTTGGTCCCCTGGACAATGCTCCAACCTCTAAGCCAAAGTGGCCAGGGCTGTAACTCCCCTTTTTCCCACACTTCTCAGGGCACAGTTTCCTAAGGCACAACCAATACCTCAAGGCAAAGACCATCCATCCTCTCTTTGATATTGTGGTAATTGTTGACTGTCAAGTCCTGTGCCCACCTACATAAGAGATGTGTCTGTGATTTTACTTTTCCTCCAGTCTCACAGGTTTTCCCACTTTGCTTTCTCCCACTTCCCTAAACTATGACCAGTGTATTTCATAGAACCCACTTGAGTCCTCTTTAATTATAACGTATGAAATAAGGTGCAAAATTGCCATTTTCTGAAACATGTCAATTGGTTGAAATTTTGCTTCTCCACAATTACTAAAATTCTCTTTGGGTTTGAATGTTTCTTACGTAGAAAGGAAGATGTTAAAATATAATGCATTAGGCAGTGAATTTAACCAAGAGTTAAGCATTAGTAAACATCTGTCAGTATACCTCAAAGCTATAATGTGCGTGGAAAAGACTGATCCAAAATTGAATTGTTGGAGGGTCCCCATAATATCGCCTTTGGAAAGCAATGTTAAAATTTTAGTGATGATGTGTGGTATAGCTCACTATTCTTGGAATTCAATAAAGAAAAACAACTTGTCCTTGAGCTGCCCTAAGGGACAGCAAGGTGAACAATGGGGAATGTTATAGAGGCCTATACCCCCATAACAATTAACCAGAGTTTGACCTTCACTGGGAATTTGAAAAGCAACATCCTTCAGAAAATGTGAGGACAGGAAAGGCCCCAAGGCCAGAGTGTCCTGCATGCTCTGTAAATAAACTGATAGGGACAAACTGAAGCTCCCTTTACCCCATAAAACTGTAACTGTTAAAAATGTATGTATTGCCCCTGGCTAACGGCTGATATCCGTCTAGAATTTGTTAGCTTTTAAAAGTTAGATAATAGAATGAATAGCTGGATAGATGTATACTGACCCAGTTCACCCAGTTAGTTCCCTTTCACCTCAGCTCCCTCCCATCTCTATTCCCTCCTGCTTATAGCTAACTGCCTCCGCTTCTGTACACACTTAGCTTGCTTGCTCTGCTAAACTCCTGAATGACCCCTGTCCTATATAAGCATCTCTCCCCCTGAGTTCCGGGCTGCAGTTCTCCCCTGTGTAGGTTGGCTGCAGTCCCTGGGCAGTTAATAAAGCTCACCTCTAATTTACCCAACTTTCTGTCTCAGTTAGGTTGACTCTCCTGGGTTACAACGCAGTGAAGAAAAAATATCTGTCAGCAGTGACAGTGAAGTGGAGGGAGCCCGGAATGCACAGGCCTTAGGCCCCCCCCTGCTTTCCAGGTCTCTGCACAGCGCTGGGCACTCGTCCTGGCCCCTCCCCCACCCCAGGTTCTTAGCGCAGGTTCTGATCCCGCCCATTTATTGCCCGGATGAGCATGCGCATAACTCGCATTTGTCGAAGCACTTGTAGAACTGCGCAGGTCCTTTCTCCGAGGGTCTTTCTGAGGTGAGGCCGATTCCTCCGTCCTCTCTCTGCGCGGGGACGGCGGGGGCGCTGCCGGCGGGGAGTCCTGGTTGGACTCTCCCGGCCGGGTGCGAATCAACGCGGGACGCTGCGCGGTGGAGGCTCCAGTCCGTCGCGGAAACGGAGCCGCGTGCGCGGTGGTGCCTCCGCCTCCAGCCGTTGGGCGCCGCCTGCCCGCGGTTCTCCTGCTGGAAACGTCCCCTGGCCGCCGGGGCCCCGCGGCTCCCGGTCCGGGTGAGCGACCCCCTGCGCCCCTCCCCCGCCTCACCGCTTTCGGCCCGAGACTCGCACGGCTCCCGGCCTGGGGTCCGCACCCCGCCTTCCCGAGCCCGCTTCCGCCGCACGAGGGGTGTCGGTGGCCGGACAGCGCGGGCGCCCTGGGGGGACTGAGCCGGGAGACGCGGCCCCCGGAGAGGTCCCGCCGCGGGGAGCGCGCTGTGGCGGCGGCGGCTGCGGAGGGGCGGGAGCCGGACGGACAGACGGCACGTGGGGGACGGTCCTGAGGCCGAGAGCGGACGGGGTGGGAGAGGCCTCGGGGAGGAGCGGGGGACAGTGAGACTCTCCGGGGAGAGGGTACCCCGAGGGGAGCCCAGGGCTGTCGGGAGCGGCCTGGGGAGCAGAGGGGCCCCGAAAAGGGAGAGCGTGGTCCTGAGGGGAAGAGTTGGGGAGCGAGTGCAGGGGCGGAAAGGGGTTCAGGGGTGACGGGCCGAGGGAGACAGCGCTGAGAGGCAGCCCGCTGTGGGGACGGGCAGGACGGGCACAGGGCACGGGCCGGGCAGGGGTCTCAGAAAGAGGCGGGGAGCCCCTGACGGCGGGGAGGTTTCCAGAGTGTGCGGGGCAGGTGCAGGGACAGGAATAGAGAAAAGGGGAGAAGGAGCCGGGGACGGGGAGGGAACAGGAAAGGACAGCAGTGCAGAGAGGGGAACAGGGAGGCAGGCAGATCTGCAGACAGAAACACACAGGAGCTGGGAGCCCGGGACTGGATCTGGGTGACTGCTGAGCTGCTGGGGTGTGATTAAGTTGTGATATATGTGCTCGTGTCTTTATTTTTTATTTTTATGTTTTTAATATGTTTTTCATTGTGTTTTTAGACAGATGGGGGAAAATGGAAACATTGATGGGATAGAGAAACATCCATAGGCTGCCTCTTGCTTTTATTCTGTCCCATGGATTGACTTTCTTTTTAGCCTCTGATCTTTAATTCAGTTTTTAAATACATAGTTATATAAATCCTAGTGTGTTAAGTATTTGATTTCTGTACACAGCCCTTAACTTATGAAATAAGCATTTGTGACATCCAATAACCAACCACCTCATCACTTTTTTCTAAATAAAAGGTAATCTCAACTTTTTAAAACTTTAATGTGAAAATCATTACATTAAAAAAAACACCCCTTGAACTGGCCAGTTTAGCTCAGCCGTTAGAGCGTCGGCCCGCGGACCACAGAGTCCCAGGTTGGAATCCCGCTAAGGGCACATACCTGGGTTGCAATTTCACTGGCGCTGGTGGGGTCCTGTGGGTGGCAGCCAGTGGATGTGTCTCTCTCACATCAATGTTTCTCTGTCTTCCTGCCTGTGTCTCTCCTGCTCTGTCTGAAGATAAATGCAAAAATGTCATTAGATGAAGATTAAAAAAAAAAATTAGAAAACAAAGAACACTTGCCTTGGCCAGACTGGTGTCAGGTTTGATTCCCAGTCAAGGGTTCATATGCATGTTGCTGGTTCCATCTCTGGCCCTGTTAAGGGCCCTGCGGGAGGCCACTAATCTGTGTGTTTCTCTCACATTCCTGTTTTTCTCCCTCTCTTCCTTCCTCCCTTCCAATCTACGTAAAAATCAATGGAAACATATCCTCAGGTGAGGATTAGCAAAACAAAAGCCCAAGTTGTTGTTTATTGTATTTTACTTTTTATATATTTTTTAAGCTTCACCCAAGGATATATATAAATATTTTTTTACCTCAACTGAGGACATTTTTTGCATTCATCTTCAGACAGAGTGGGAGGGAGGAGAGGGGGTGAGAGAGAGAGAGAAACATTGATGTGAGAGAGACACATGGACTGGTTGCCACCCACACAACCCCAACCAGGGCCAGGGACAAACTGCAAGGAAGGTATGTGCCCTTAGCGGAAACCGAACCCGGGACTCTCCGGTCCGTGGGCCGATGCTTTAACCACTGAGCCAAACCGGCCAGGGTACCCGAGGATATTTTTTACATTAATCTTCAGATAGAGCAGGAGAGGGAGACACATCAATGGGAGAGAGACACATCAATTGATTGACACCTGACAACCCCAACTGGGGCCAGGGACAAACCTCAACCAAGGTATGTGCCCTTCTTTGGAAATGAACCCCGGACTCTTGGACCGTGTGCAGAGTTCTTACTGCTGAGCTATACTGGTAAGGCATGTTGATCATTTTGAATATATTGTGTCTAGATTAGATGCTGAGCTCTGTATCCTTTCCATTGCTTATCATATGTCAAAACTTCCCTTTGTACCTAGTCAGTATTAGGCTATTTCCCATGTGCAGTTGGTAAAGTGGTCAATGATTTTAGCAGTCAGAACCTAGTTTTGTGAGTTGGTCTAATGTTCACCAGCTTTTTTTTCCCCCTTATGGGATTTGTTGAATTAGTGACTGTGAGCCACAGAGGAGCTGTTCTCCTCAAGTCTGTGTTGTCTATTCTCTGAAAGTATGTGTGTGTGTGTGTATTTTAGTCCTCACTCCAGGATACTTTTGCATTTATCATTAGATAGAGTGGGAGGGAAGGAGAGAGAGAGAAAAAAAAACATTGATGTGAAAGGGACACATCGACTGGTTGCCTCCTGCATGACAGACCAGGGCCAAGGATGAACTGCCACTGAGGTACATGCCCTTGACTGGAATCAATAGAACCCGTGAGTCATTGACCTGTGGGGCTGATGCTCGAACCACCTAGACAAACCGGCCAGGGCCGTTTTGTGAAAATACTGAAGCATGGACTAGATTCACCTGAGTAGGTGAAGTCACTTGATCAGTATATTTCAATAGCTAACTTTTTTCAAAGGTTTTTGCATAAAGATCTTCTGTTCTCTGTTATTTCCTGAGAAAAGAGGAAGGAAATGTGCCTCAGAAGCGTGGGTGATGTGAGCTGATTAAAGGGCTGTGTGGACACATTTGGAGGCACGTTCTCTGACTGGAACATAGCGTCACCTGAGAAAACAACCCTGAGCTGGAGCAGGACCAAGACAAAATGGCTGCTTCTCAGGTAAAAGATGTGTTTTGGGTCAGAGGCTGTGTCTGTTTTGCCTCTCACGTGGGTGGATTTAGAACCTGCAACCTTTATTTCTCTACTTCTGATGTTCTTGCCTCGTGAGGTTGTTTTCCCTGACTTCTTTTATTCCTTTTTCCTTGTGATGGTCATGGTCAGGAGGTTGTATACTTCTCCTTTGTCCCAGAGCCTGTTTTGCATTCAGTTTCTGCAGGCTCCCTCAGGTCAGGAAGCATACCTGCCTCTAATTAGTGACTTTAACTCTTGCAAACATGTCTTTCCTGACAGATCAAACAGGGAAGGCATATTTAACATCCCTATTGGGATGGGGACAGCGGCTCGCGTGTCGGAGAAGGCAAATGTAGGTTTTAGATTTTTGTGGCTGTAGCATCAGCTCTGTAGATCAGGGTAAGAAAATGTACATTTACTACTCAGAGTAGCTCAGAAAGTTCTGAAAAGAGTAAGAAGAATAGACTTGCTTAGTAGATTAGCAGGAAAGACGTGCAATTAAAATGTACTGTTAATAGCCTGTAGCCCTGGCTGACGTGGTTCAGTGTTAGAGCGTTGGTCCGTGCACCAAGGGTCTGCAGTTTAATTCCTGATTAAGGGCAGGTTCTGGGGTGTAGGTTTGATCCCTGCCCATAAATGGGGATGCAAGCTTTGTTGTGTCTCTTTCACATCGATGTTTCTCTCTTTCTGTCTCTCTCTCCCCTACCTCCTCTTTCCCTTCCACACACTCTAAAAATAAATGAAAAAACTATCCTCTGGTGAGGATTAACAATAAATGTAAAGAAATGTACTGTTAGCACACAGAATATAAGTGGTACATGTGGATTGGCATGTGACAAAAGTTTACTGTAATCATTTTCACAGAATAATTTCCCTTGGCCAGTGATGCAAATCAGTGAGGACATTTCCTTTCCTGTGCCTCAGGCACCTGATATCCACACTCCAGTCCACCTGATACTCACTTTGGTGTGGTGCTCTCTGCAATACAGAGCTAACAGTTTCCCTGTATCAATACAGAGTTTCTAGTAGGGATTTAATCAGAGATGTGAAAAAAAAATCACATTTCATCTGGAAACTTCCCTCTTCATAGTTTTTGTTTTCTTTGGAATATGATGTTCCTACTTTTCTTTTTCTTTATTCATTTTTAGAGAGAGAAGAAAGGAGAGGGAGGGAGAGATAGAAACATGAATGAGGGAACATTGATTGGCTATTTCTTGCATGCCCTGCACTGGGCATTTGGCCCACAACCTGGGCCTGTGCCCTGACTGGGAATCAAACCAGTGACCACTTGGTGCATGGACCAACGCTCAACCACAGCTAAACTGGCCTGGCATGAAGTCCCTCCTTTTATTTTCTACAGATCATTGGCTTTTGATGTGGGAGCTTTAACCAATCACGCATTGTTCCTGTAAATTCATTATGTTTTACACTCATTATTACTTTTATTTGTAAAAGTTTATAAGAATCGTATTCTTACTGTATTTTCAAGTAAATTTCTACAATATTCCTCCACTAATAGTATGTAAAAATGTTCAGAAAAAAGATCAACTTAGAAATAACAGGTCTGACATTTTTTTCATTTTATATGAGTTCCTCTTACTGTGTCTGTAAAACACCAAGAGTATCATTCACTTAATAGATTCAGGAGACTTACGGAATTGCAAAATCATCTTGCGTTTAGTGAGATGAAAATTCTGTTTTGTATCCTTTTAATATTGTACATACTTCTCATATGTGTGCTTGTGTGTGTGCATAAAATTTTAACATTATATGGGCCTTTTTCTTTTTGCTTAGTTATGATTTAAACACATATATTTTATTGATTTAGAGAGAGGGAG